TGCGCCAACAGTGCTTGAATGTTGTAAGAACTACAAATCAAAGATAAGCGAAATGTTTACAAACAGTGGAGATGTTTCCTCTCATTCTAGACAAGAAACAAAACATCTCTAAATACATCGGCTGTGCTTACACACGTAAGTAGCCCATAATAGAGGCCGATGATAATTATAACCAGAAACCCCCAGTTGATTCCTCACTCAACCTGGGGAAACCTGGCCAACAAACCCAACAAAACCATCTCATTCGACACTTTGACCGGATCATTCAGTCTCCGTGAGAATAAAATGCCGCCGTTGGTGCTGACAGGAATCGACATCGCAGAAGAGAAGCGCTTACTTGATTATTTTTGGAGGGGCCGGCGATTACTGCGCGTTGGCGTCGCTTGCACAGCCCACGAACCCTCGAAATAGCGGCAAACCACCAATCAACGACTCTCGCTCAGCACCAAGGCCGCTAGGATGAGGCTGGTAAACAAGACGGATATGCCATCTTCCGTAGGATGTTGACTATTTTTGAATATGCTGTGCTGTGCAGTGCAGTGCAGTGCAGAGGCTCTGAGGCTGTCTTGTTCCTGTTCCTGGGTCTGACAGCTCAGCATCGTGAGTCTTGTGTGCCTGGGTTCATTGGTTATTTGGAGATGAGAATGGGTATAAGAAGATGGTGGTGTCCGGCTGAGATTGGAGATATCATTCATAGCATCACTCAAGCATTACAAGTCATATATTCACTACAGCCTTCATCTCATCTCACATCATCTCATTCTCCTCTTCAAACTTTCTACCTCGATATCATTCACAATGAAGTTCACCACTGCTCTCGTCTCCGCCGTCCTGGCCTTCACCTCCTTCGCCGAAGCAGCTCCTCGCAACACTCGACGAGGAGACTCTAGCAAGCCTCTCAGTCTGACTGCCCAGCTTCGACTCGCTGATACGTAAGCAGCCCCCAACGATGACTTGGCTACGACCACATGACTAACATATCTTCAGTGCCGCTGACCGCTTTGCTCTCCTCCCCGAGGACGATGACTTTGTCTTTGACTTCAACAAGAAGCAAGATAACCCTGGAAAGGGCGGCGAGCTCATCGCTGCTAACCGTGCCAACTTCCCTGCTCTTGTTGGTACTGGCGCTGGCATGGCCTTTGGCAGAATCGATCGTGAGTTTCTCTTATATTCTATCATCTCCAATAGCAACACTAACATATCATCATCAGCCTGCGGCATGAACACTCTTCACGTTCACCCTCGATCTGCTGAACTCCAAGTCGTCACTTCCGGCCGTCTCATCACCGAGATGGTCCCCGAGAACGGCGTCCTCGACAAGGACGGCAAGCGTCGTGTTATCCGCACTGAGCTTACAGCCAACATGATGACCCCCTTCTACCAAGGCTCCATCCACACCCAGTTCAACCCTGACTGCGAACCCGCTACCTTCATCGCTACCTTTGCAACCGAGGACTTTGGCACTGGTCAGATCGCTGATGAGCTTGTTTCTCTGAGCGACGATGTCATTGCTGCTACCTTTGGCCAGAGCATCGCTGGTGAGGATATCGACAAGGTCCGCCAGGCTGTCCCTAAGAGCATTGCTCTGGGTGTTGATAAGTGCCTCGAGACCTGTGGCCTCAAGAAGCGATCCATCTAAGATGGAATCTCCCTTATCTTTATTTCTTTCTTCGAGTCCTAGCATGGAATGAGCATGCGAGCGATGTTTCTTCCCCTGGCGTTATTCTTTAGTTCGGCAGCACAGACGGAAATACCCTAGTTCTACGCAGTAGATATTGATAGGACCCGGCAATTTGTTTGTTTATAGATAGAATTTGGTACATATTATACAAGCTTTTCTTTCATCTAGTTTACATACATCGTGATACAAAGCCCAAAGCCATACCCTCGGCACCATCGCTTTACAAACCCTTTTCGCGATGGCCAACAACCTTGGCGAAAGAGTCAAAGGACATTGTCATCGAGTGTCGCCCCGCAGTCTTGCTTCTCAAATGGTTATCATAGTCCAGCATCTCCTTGTACGGGACCTTGGCGATAATCTCAACAACTCTCGCTGAAGACTTCTTACCGCGCAGAGAAGTAATAGAGTCATATGGATCAGGAGGGGTGTAAATCTTGGACACATCAATATGATCATCGCCAGTCGACTCAGCAGACCGATCATTGACCTCAAGAACTTGACCACCAGCACCAGCAGTGACATCATGCTGAACCGTACCGGCTACAACCTCTGGACATGTAATGGTGACATGCATGATAGGTTCAAGAATGCCGATCTTCTCTTTCTCGAAAGCATCGCGAAGAGCAGCCTGGACGGCAGTCCTAGCGGCAGTGCTGAAGTGTCCTCCCGTGGGAGTTTCACAGGCGCCGGGTTCTGTGTCCAGTGTGATAGTAACGTGGCACCCGTGAATAGGAGCGGCACGACGAGGGCCCCTCGCCAGACCTGCAATAGCTCCGTTGAGAAGCTGCGCCCTCGCCTCTTCTGGGTCAAAGTCGAGAGTGCTAGCCTCATCTGTCAAGGGAATAGCGACGTGGTATATGTTGCCGTCTCGTTCGATACAGGACTCTAACAAAGTGTCGTGATGATGATCTTCAAGTGGCGACAGGACAACGGTGCAAGAAGCTTTGCCGGGTTTGCCGGCAACGGGACGGTCAAAGACTGTGTATTGTGGCCGCGTGGGCTCTGTGACGCATTCCTTGTAGTCAACTTCGATAGGACCGAAGTCGGCATCGATCTTGTATTTTTGCTTCATGTTGTATAGTGAAACGTCGAGATGAAGCTTGCCCATACCCTGAATTGTGAATTGTTCTGTTTTGGGATCTCGGCTGTACCGTAGACTTGGGTCTTCTCTTGTTGTATTTTCCAAGGCGATCTGGAGTTGCTGAGCAGCAACGTTACCATATGGCTCAACTTGTAGAAACGCCACGGGCGGTGGGATCTCAGGAGGTCGAATCTTGACATGACGGAAGTTCTCAGGAATGGGCTTGTTTGCATTCATCGTGACAAGTGTATCGCCTGTACGGGCTTTCTTCAGTCCCCTCAGAGCTCCGATCTGCCCGACCCCAAGCGATTGAATATCCTGTGTCTTGTTGGCAGCGATCTGAAGTATACCCATGGGCTTTTCATGGGCTAGAATATTGGTGTTGAAACTTGCTGCGTTTCTGGTAAGAGTGCCGTGATAAACGCGCACGAAGCTGATGACACCCTCCTTGGGATGGTTGAAGACCTTGAAGACGGAGGAAATAGACGCAACCTGGTTCCTGGCAGACTTGGGGCTGTTTTCGAGAACTTCTGTCAAGCGATGCTTTGCTGACCCGACTCGGACTTCTGCTGATGGGCGTTCGTCTGGGCTTGGTAGATAATCTGTGATAGCGTCCATCAAGGGTTCAACACCAATATGTCGGAAGCTTGAACCAGCGAACACTGGAATGACCCGACCATCACCACTTCTGATAACTCGCCGAATAGCCTCTTTTATCAGAGTACCATCGATGTTTTCGTTTTCAGCCAGAAACTCATCCATGATAGCTTCATCAAAATCCGCAAGACCCTCAATCAACGCCTGTCTCGCGGTCTCAATCTCTGGCAAAAGCTCTTTATTTGTGCTTGAGAGCTTTTCCTTCAGCTCCTCAGTATTGTATCGCTTCTTTTCACGTTCCGACTTCCATCGGTATCCGACTCTGTTGACAATATCAATCACACCAACAAAGTCCTCTTTCTCCCACCAAGGGATCTGACAGACAAGCGGCCATCCTTTCAGACGTGTACCGATCTCGAGGACTGATTTTTTGAACGAAGCACCCTCTCGATCAAGCTTGTTGCAGTACACTATACGGGGTACTTTGAACTCATGAGCAGATCCCCATACTCTTTCTGTGTGAGCTTCAACGCCTTTGACTGAGTCGATGATACAGACTGCTCCATCGAGAATGGGCAGACAGCGATCGACTTCAAAACGAAAGTCTTGATGGCCAGGAGTGTCGATGAGGTTGATCGTTTTTGCATGTTCTCCTGGTGCGAGTGCTTGGTGTCTAGGCCAGTGGAACGTGATAGCTGCTGATTGAATGGTGATACCTCTCTCTCGCTCCAAGTCGAGGAAGTCAGTTACAGTATTTCCAGAGTCGACATCTACACTTAGTTAGTATATTTGGTCGGTCAGTGAGTCTAAGATATGCATGCCCACCTCCAACACGTTGCGTGACACCACTATAATAGAGCATTCGCTCAGTAGTAGTAGTTTTGCCCTGTAAAATATGAGACCAAGTCACTTCGACATCTCTGTGGTAATACTTACAGCATCGACATGAGCTATAATACCAATATTTCGAATGTTGTGTAGTTGAGTATCATGATGAGCCTGATGCATAGCTCTACGGCTCAAATTCATGAGTTCTTTATTGCGCCATTGACGGGCAAGACAACGGCCCGAGCCTTTTACAGCCGGGCCATTCCGTAACAAGGATATAATAATCATTCCAATCTCGGAAATAAACCAAGATTCGACTGCTTCATCTCAGTCTCTCTTCTCTCTCTTTTCTTTGTCTCTTGAGGCTGATTTTGAGCTTTCTCTGCTGTTTTTGGAAACGCTTTGATGTCATTCGCCAAAACTCTCATTCAACTCCACTACCAACTCCTGATCACCAGCTTCTGCATTCTCATTGGCCGAACCCCCCGTAAAGGAATCCTAAGACTCGCCCCAAGCCTCTAAAACTTGTAGCTTAGGCTGGTCCCGTCTGGGGGGGGGGGCTTTGAGGCGTAGCCTGTCATTAGCTTCAAACTCGGGGCTACCTACGTAATCTTGCTCCTTGTGCTTTTCACCTCCCGTCTCCGTCCGTCTTCGTCACCTTGCAACACTTACATACGCCTCCCATCACAATTCGTCTGCCTTTTGACGCGACTGCCCTTAAACTGCTGCCTGCGCGATACTTTTCAGTATTAAACTCGATTCCACCTCGATTCCCTCCGGCGCAGTCCTCAAGTCAACAATAAATCAATTATCATGGAGCTCTCTGACACCTTGTGAGTAGCTACATTGCACTGTAGTATCGTCACGAGAATACGTTGCTAACCATCGCCTTCAACTGTAGTCGCATTGTCAACTTGGCTGTTGGTGTTATCACCGTCCTCGGTGGTATCGCGTCCATCTTCCATCTTGGCCTGTACGTGTACTACAATCCTGCGCCGAGTGATCAATTCGCATCCAGGCAACACCTCGACAGCGCGAATACTGACAATGCCTTTATAGTCAACCCATTGTTGTCGGCGCTTACATGATCGTCTTTGGTCTCGTCATTGCTCTGCTCGGTATGTTGCGACACTGACCGAACCTCCCATGCGCCAAGCCTAACAGATCGCAGAGTTTCAGATCCCTCCCCAGGTCTCCCGACATGCCTCGTTCATGTTCTCCTTCATCGGCCGTGGTGTCTGTAAGTAATACCTAGAACAGACCACACCAACCCATCGCTAACACTCCCAAGTCTACGTCTTCATTGGCTGTCTTCTGTTGGGTAACTTCATCCTTAGCAAGATTGCTGGTAGCATCATCGGCATCGTCGGTCTTGCCTACATCGCCCTCGAGTTCGTCCCCTCCATCGAGCCCCCCAGCAACATGCGCGAGGCCGAAGATGCCGGTTGGGGTGCCGAGCAGGTCTAGAATGCCGACGCCAACCAGACGGGATCAACCCCTGCGGTTGCCTCTTCAAATACAGGCGCATAAGCTTTCGCGACGACCATTCGATCATGATACGGATGACAGCGCAAACGCGCAACAAACGCGGTGAACTAGGACGTATAGGATAAATTACTTGAAAGATGAATGCTACAAGAGGGGGAGTAGAAAGGCTGTATCTCAATGAATTGCAGAAGGCAGGAGAGAATGAAGAGAGAAGTGGCTCGTTTCAGTGGGATCGAGCGCGAGGCTCACGAGAATCAGTGTATAACGATTTGAAGAGATGAACCATTAGCAAAGAAACATTATTAAGGGCTTCGGGATCGAATATTCTATTGTCTAGTATACCTGATGCTCCCTCATGCAATGAAATCAGACGCCATTATTTCAACGTTAAACAAAATACTATTTTATGCTTCTCATGTCCTTGGACTCCTCAGGAAGCTAACTACACCACTGCAATATCCAACCAGTCCGTCCAGTCGGTTGCACTCCTTCTCTTGATATGACTTCCACTCGCTCAACGCCGCCAACAGATCCTGGTTCTCCATCACCAGATCAAAGTGTAATCGCAGGAACACCGTCATCCACGCCTGAGTAAGCTCATAGTCTCGACGAGTCTTGAGACGAGCTGTCAAAGCGCGGATAAAGTGTAACAGCTCGTTCGAGTCCTCATCGCCATCACCGATAGAAAGCGAGCGAAGTTCGAGATCCGCGCTTGAGGGGGAGAGAGACTTGAGATGCTCAATGAACTCATCATCTGTGATGCGTTAGTGGCCATGGTTGTGATGTTGGAGAAATGTGACTTACAACTTCCTGTCTCTGCTCCAGCTCGAAGCTTGGTGCTGAGAACCTCTTCAAAACGAGCCTTCTCGACTCTTGTGATGCGAGAGTTGCTCTCTGCCTCAGTCTCGCCCTGGAGCTTAGAAGCCATAGGGTTCTCCTTTCCTGTCGTCGAAGGCAAGAAGAAGGGCGCCTTCTCGGGAGCCTTGGGGGCCTCTGTGGGCTTATTTCGCTCCTTGATGAGATCGAGGTGCAGCAATGTCTGCCAGCGGCTCTTGGGGACCAAAGACAGCGTTGTGAGTTCTGAGCTGAGCTGTTCAATCGTTGGTGCCACCACGGTATCCTCATCCTCAACTTGCTCCTCCTCAAACGCACCCTCCAGCATACCATGGCTGTTCTCGCCAGATACTGTCGGAGCAGAGACTTGACCAATCTCCTTCTCGGAGATTTGACGTGTTGGAACATGCTTAAATAGGGCCTTGTTGGTCCAGAGTGTCACTCCCAGCTCGTTCTCGATTGTTGCAGCCAAGTATTCGCCAGTAACAGACATTGCCAGCGCCTTGCAAGGCTTCTCGAGTCTGATGGCATCGATCAAGTGACTCGTGGGAAGATCCCATACACGAATGACGCAATCTTGCGAAGCAGCGATGATCCATCGTCCATCATTGGAGAAGCAGAAATCGTTGATGGCGCCCTGAGGCCCCCAGAACTCACGAATGGTTCTCTTTGTTTCCATGTCGACCACCCGAATGGATAGATCGTCGCATGAGAAAGCAAGCAGGTTGCTCGCGGGGTGGTATCTACATCCCATTGGGAATGTCATAGGTGCCCAGTCAATCTGCTCTAATAGGTTTCCGGTCAAGAAGTCCCAGAACTTAATCTTGCCATCCAGAGAGCAAGACACGACGTTCTTGTTCATGGAATCGACAACAAGCCCAGTAATACGCTTTGTGTGCTTTCCGGTACCAACGGGGAACTGGCGAGTAGCCTCGGCATGCATTTGTACGATATCGTCTGCCTGTCGTAGTTGCTGCATCTTGAGCTGGCGAGCTTGACCCGCGGTCAATCTTGAAGGGAATCGTTGGCGGTGATTTCCTGACTGAAGGTTGTACATATCAATACCACCAGATTCAGCACCAACAAGCGCAAAGGTACCGCAAGGGCTAATGGCAACAGTAGAGACGTTGGTCTCATCTCCAGTAGGGAAAGCCCATCGACCAGCTCGCTTTCGGCCCCAGAACCATGTCCTGGCATAAGGATCGTTCTTGTGAGCAGTGACAACACTCTCCCAGCCAGTCATACCACTGACCTCAGCATCCTGGGGCTTCTTCCTGTCTCGAGACTTTTGCCATATAGGTTGGTTACCGGGCATAGAACCAATGCCACCATCTCGGTTCAGTGAGGACGCCATACAAGTAATCTCAGGGGCCTTAAGGTCCTCCAGAGTTGTTGTAGGCCCATGAGATAGAGGGTTTGTGGCTAGAATACCAATCTTCTTGGCCTTCTTGCGAATGTTACCCTGACTCAACTCTGTGCTCTGACCATCACGGCGTAGACTCCATCCCCAGAGGCTTCGATCTTGTCCACCACTGAGCAACCACTTGTTACCGGCATCGGCACCCTCAAAGTCGGTAGGAAGGAATTCGAGGCAGTTGACAGGACCAGCATGGCCGCTGCGAGAGTGAAGGATTCGAGGAATGGGAGAGAAGGGTGTCTCGTCGAAGATCCAGGACTTCAGAGAGTTATCGCGACCGCTTGTCACCACGACTGGTTGCCCAGGGAGAAACTCAATCTTACTGATTCCACCACGAACAAGCGGTCCATCGTAAGAAGGAGGGTTATGAGCGCTTCGCAAAACACCCATCACGCGGCCGCCACCATTCAAGTCCCAAAATGTGACATCTCCAGTGGCAGCTGTCGCTGTGGCCATAACACCATCCTTTCGTCCATCATTGCCCGCTCCCATACCATCAGTCCGGAAAGAAATTGAGTTGACCTGCGCCTCTGAGCTTCCAGCCTCGATGCGAAGAGTAACCTTGTCGGTTAAAACGTTCGTGATGATGAGAGTTCCTTCAGAATAAGCGATAGCCAGAAGAGACAGAGCAGGGCTAGGCTCTAGGCATGTTATAGAACCGCAATCGGGAGCCGGAGGAAGAATAGTGTAGATGAGCTTGCCGGTGCTGACGTTCCAGATCTCGACCCAACCATCTTTGCGACCCACGAAAATCTTGTTGAGGAAAGTTGGCATAGAGACAATGCCGCCAGTGATTTCGTTGCCGCGGTTGTTGGCAGGTGTAGTGTGAATAGTGGTGTAGTGCTCTAGAGTGGCCGTCTTGAAAACCTCGATTCGCGTAGTAGCAGCGACGATAGTCCATATTCCCAGGATCAGAATTTGCTTGACAGGCTCGTTGAGGTCCGAGGGCAGCGCAAGCTCATCGACCTTCTTGCCCCTCTGGAACACCCAGATACCCTGAGATTCGCCCTTCTTCGATCCGCCCCATGCTGCGAAAACCTTTTCCTTCCAGGCGAGAGTCGCGGTGATGTCGGCGGGGGTTTGGGGGCGAGTGATGAAGACGAGGTTCAATCCGCGACGAAGATCGTAAGTCTGAATAGATCGGCCAACGGAAGTTGAGATTTGAAAGGTGGTTTTTCCGAGAGGGATCGATGTGAAGGGGACGCTCGTAGGTGATACTAGACCGACAGTCTAAAGCGTAACAATTAGCTATTGGAGCACAACTCTCAGTCGGATGGACATACACGGAAGGGCGCAAAGATTCTCGAAGAGTCTGATGCAGCCTTTGAAGCATTGGCGGGCGCCGCAGTCTTCTGGCGCTTGACCACTGGGTGGTCAGCATCTTTATGAGGCATTTTGATTATGTGAGATGCAGCTGGTGCAAGTAGCGACAAGGTTACTTCACCAAAGATGCCCGCTTGCGCTCTGCAATTGAGGCTGCTCTACGTGATACTGCAGCCATGTCCAAAAATTTACAATTTTGGCGGTGAAGCGGGGCAGTATTTCTGGTGTATGGTTGAAGTAATTATTCTGGGTTGGGATTGGATGTTGAATTTAGCTTTTAGACTTTCTGCAAGTCATTGAATTACGAGAAGCACCTCTAAATATCTGATTGGGTCTTTTCAGTCATTAGAGCTCGGTTTATGCAACTTCATGATCTTCCTAGACAGCTGGAAAGTCATGTTTGATCGCAGATCACTGTGTACGGTTAATTTTGTCAACTGCCCGCCGACGAACAACGGAGTACGACAGGCATAGCCAACTGATTTGCAGATAATCTTGGCACTAGCCAGCCCTCTTGCATACAGCGCGGGTAAGCCAAGGCGCATAGGACACCACTAGCGGGGAGATAGCTGGACTGGAATTCGAGGGATAGCATCTGGCTTTTGAGGTGTCATCCTTCATCCGAGAGACACTGACTGGTATGAAGGCGCCAGACCATGATCTTAGCCAGGGGAAATCTGGCAGTTGATCTCTTTGAATCGGCACTCTCGTGCCTAGTTGCACAAATAAGGCTGCAAAGTTTACCCAAGTACGCCCCAATTACGACTCGGCGTACCCGACGTAATACGCAGCAGTTGATCCAATATTCACAAGACGAGACAAGACAATACAAGATTCTGGATCACGGATGTTGGTGACACGGCGCCAAGAAGATTGGGGTTTGTTCAAAACAGGGAGGAGGAATTTGGTTTGGTCGTGTGCCTCACTGCCTAGGTATGTACTCTTATGTGAGCGGCGAGCAAGGGATGACAAATGGCCAAGCTTGGAGCTGAGTGCATACGTTAGTTGTGTTGATAAGGAAACAAGCATGCGCATCTTGACCGAAAGAAAGGCTTGTCATTGTTTGTTTATTTGATTGGAGATGCCGTATCACGATCTCTCCTTGACAAGGATGAGCTTTTTGTCTCCCTACTCTCTTCTAAACATGTTAGTAAACAACAGCTTCGTCACACACTCGCACTCTACCTGAGAGAGCTCTGCTGTACTCTGTACGTAAAGCGAGCTACCCCACTATACATGATTCAATTCTTTAAAACAATCCTTGTCGATGCCAGACATGACACAGTAAGAGAGAACGGACAGGGCACTATGTAAGACTCTAATATTTTGGAGCGCCTCCAACAGCCGAGAAACGCTCCAAGTGTAGGGGCGATCTGATACAAACTGATCCACCTGCATCTCAATGTCAACGTCACCATGATATTGGCGCCTGGGAAAACACACCCAGATCCAACCAAGGCGGCAGCACACGAGCAGGCTACCTTGGGGAAACATCATCAGGTACCGACCAACGACAAGATGATGATATTCTGAGCTAAATAAACGAGACGGGGAAAAGCGTTTCGGGGTTGTCTACTGTGAAAAAGTCCTGCACTAGGTAACTGAGCCCCTCGTATTTGCGCAGTAACCGACCGGGCATCCCACCGCATCAAGACATAACCAGGTAGAAAAGGTCCACTGCATCATCATCCTAGGTCCCAGTTGTTACGGTGCAGCAAATGGAATGGATACTCACAAAGAACTACCGAGTTTGAAAGGGAAATCAAAGAGAACAAGACCCCTTTTAACACTCACTCATTGATGCTAAAAGCGGATCAGAGTTTCAAGGCCAGGAGAGGCAGGACGATCACGATACAGAGCAGAGCAACTCCTTGTTCCAGAGCCCTCTCTTTTTGTCGGGCATGCTTAGAAATGTGTCAAAGAACCCCCCGAACCCGTCCGTGGTAAGGTGTGCGAGCTTAAACTAAGCCGCCGTCGTAATCTGGGCTATGCTACTAGGTAGGTACGGATACTAAAATTCACCTTATTAGCTTAAAACAACCGCTTCAAAAAAGGTACGGTACGGTACGGTACAGCATAAGGTAGCATGGTCGGTCGGTATAACTGATGAGTCTGCCCTCCACGCTGTAACACGCGACCACATACCAACCCTGGGCAATTTATATTTTGAGGTTTCATTGTTTCTGACACTCTTTCACTCACTGTGCAAGCAGTAGGCGCAGGTTCCCATATATTCCCACTGCCTATCCCTGAATATCCTTGGAAGGGGTTGCGTGTCACTGTGTTTCACCTCCAATCACTTATACTCACTCTCGCTCACTCACCCATCCCAAACTAACTCATACGTACATACATACTGTGCTGAACCTGGGGCTTGGCTTTTCAGCTCCTGCTGCAGCATTCTTGTCTAGTCTCTTCGTTTATATCTGACGAAAGCCTTATATCCGCTTGGCTTTTGCCCAGACCTGACCTTAATTCCTCCTCCCCTCCCCTCCACCTCAAATCCAACCCTTCCTCCGTAACATCCCTCTTCCTCATCTCGTTGACCTGATGATGTGAAGTAGGCCCAATATGCCTTCTTTAGTCTCTTATCTTTTTGCTGTCTTTTTCGTATCATTACTATTTACGAAGCTGCTACATCTATTCATCCACATCCATTCCATCGCCGTCATCGACTTTGTCGTCTATCTACCGACCTTCTTTTTACAAGACTTCTTCCTAGTTCTCTTCGCCCGCTTATTGCTACGTCGAGAGCGAACAATTCTTTCTCTGATTGGTTATGTTCTTGGATGCTTTTCAACGTATATGCCCTCGATTTTACCTTTCCGTTGAATCTCGTTATGGCTGACAGTAGCTGTATAGTTTGATAACGTTTATTGCTGCGGCATCCGAGCTTGGCTTTCATTATAGAACAGGCGGCGAAGTCGAATGGAGCGACGCTGGCGATTTTGCTAATGACGAGGGTCTCAATGTTTTGATCAGCGAGAGCAGCAGTGTCATTGTTTCTGGTTTAATCATCCTCATCGTCGCATGGTTGCCTCAGAACTATCTATACAGGGTCTTTGGCGACATCGTATCTGGAATTGGCAAGCGAATCGCTTCAGGTTTGTCGCTTAACTCTATTGCAATGCTTAATTTGTTAACACTCGCATGCAGTCTCTCGGTATTTGCGTGGCAAGATTCGCCCACAGCCCCAACATCAGCAGGATCCTGAGAACGCCGAGCCTTTCCTCCGGCGTGTTAACAGCGAAAGCACCGTCACAAACAGTGGCCATCCATCACCTAATTTGAGCCGCGATGCAGAGGAGAAGGACTCGGAAGAGCGTACACAGAAGCGACGCTGCTGCGCATTCATCCCCTCTTGGATCATCAACACAGTCGTCTTGCTATTCATCGGCATCACATGGGTCGCCCGCCCTGACCAACCTTATAATCACATCGCAAGCAGTTTGACTTTACGATTGTCTGACTCTGTACGACCGAAGCTTGGACTCTGTGCTTCTCAAAACGAATTCCCCTTGCGACAGCTTATCGAGAAGTCAAGATGGCAGGATCCCAAGGGCAACTTCAAGGGATGGGCTCCCAGCAGAGAGAACAACGGGTTGGTAAAGAAGTACAGAGAGAACCCTCCAGCTTGGCTTCCCAACCCCATCCCCAGCGGGTTTCTCAAGTGGAATCCTGATCGATACAAGGACGAGCATGATAAGAAGGATGGTCCTAGCAATATGTGCCCCAATACTTGGCAAGATCGGGGTTTCTACAACCCTGTCAACGACCCCATGCGAATTACTAACCTCGATCAAGAGATTCTAGCTCCCATTCATGAGGCACTCTCGAATAACTCGGTCAAGATTAGACATATTGCTCTTATTCTCATGGAGAGTGTGCGTGAAGAACTCTTCCCTCTCCAGCAGGGTAGCAATATCCACCGATTCATCATGGAATCGAACGACGAGAATTCCAGAGATGAAGTCAACGGCCGGGTGTCACGCATGACTCAGAACTTCGAGAAGATCACCGGAAAGCCAGGCAACTACAAAAGCGCAAACGGAAGTGCTTACGATCCTCCCGCGAAGCCTGTATGGAACGACCAGACGAAGCCCGGCTTTGGTGGTATCAACGTCGTTGGAGGTCTTACCAGCAGTAGTGTCTCAACCAAGAGTCTTGCAGCCGCGCATTGTGGCGCTTGGCCCATGGCTGTCAACATGTTTGAAGAATCCGAACTCGAGAGCTATCAGCCCTGCATTCCGCAGATTCTCGAACTGTTCAACAAGGTCAAGGGCAACATGACAAAGCGAGACGAAAAGCCACAGGAGGAGCGAGGTTGGTGGGGACTTGGTGGTACTGCGCAAGCCAAGTTCCATGAGTACCCGTGGAAGCCTGCTTTCTTTCAAGCCGTTACAGACCACTATGACAGACAGGACAAGTTTGACGAGAAGATTGGTTTCGATTTCAAGGTCACCAAGCCCAGATTAGACGAGGAGGCCAAGGACAATCCCGAGATGGAGGAGATCAACTATTTTGGATACCCCGAGACAGATTTGAGGGAGCACATCAGAAAGTTCATTTCCGACGGCCTCGCCGAAGATAAACGACTCTTCATGTCGCACTTTACCAGCACTACTCACCACCCTTGGGGGGTGCCTAAGTGGTTCGAGAAAGAGAAGTACATGGGTAAAGAGGGCGGTAATCATCAAGACCTTGACAAGTATCTCAACACCATCCGCTTCACCGACGCATGGCTCGGTGAGCTGATGCAGATGTTTGAGGATACCGGAATCGCCGATGAAACCCTCGTTGTCTTCGTTGGTGACCACGGCCAAGCATTCAAGGAAGATTTCTCAAAGACAGGTACCTACGAAAACCGTCACATCAGCAACTTTCGAGTTCCGATTTCTTTCCGACATCCAAGCATTCCTCGGGTGCAATACGAGGCCAACGTGACATCGATCTCTATCCTTCCCACCATTCTCGACCTCCTCGTCAACTCAGGATCTCTTAATAAAAAAGATTCCGAAATTGCATTCGACCTTGCCCACGACTACGAGGGCCAATCCCTAATTCGCCCATATCAAAAGACACAAGACGGCCGTCGCGCTTGGAACTTTGGACTTATCAACCCAGGCGGTGGTATGCTCACAGTAACCTCAGCCGACGCACCCTGGCGCCTCGCAGTTCCTCTAAAGAAAGACCTCGAATATACATTTACAGATCTCGGCAAAGACCCGCTAGAGCTAGACGCTCTGGACAAATGGTCGATCAAGTCAATGGTCAAGGCAGTGAAGCGCCAGTACGGCGACGACGCTGCGACCTGGGTCAAGGAGGCCGACGAAGTTGCCCACTGGTGGGCTCTAGAGCGAAGACGCCTCTGGGGGTACAACCCCGACGAGGACAAATGATGCTGTTTTATTATCATCACTACTAGTTTTATTTTATGACATGATGCATTGGGTATTTGGGTTTGTGGGCTTGCAATTGCTTTTGGAAACTGGTCTTTTGGCATACCCGTTGGCACATGTGTACGGCATACATACATTTAGGGAGAGGCTCCCTCGGAAATGGTTGTTTTCTGGGTTGATATTTTTGGTCTACAAAATGGCATAGACGTTGAAATTTTTGCGCATTGTATACTTGATAAAGATTATTTCGTTTGTGGCTTGTGTTTCAGTGATTGTGTTAAGTTGAGCGGCGCATTGGTTTTGTGGTCAGACTTCCACATGATCGTGGCTATCAAAACGAAACGGTTATGCGATGTATAATCTGAGCAGATCGGAAATTATGTGGCTTTTATTTCCATAGTATGCTCACGGTGCATTGAAGAGGGTTGATGCTTGTTGGGAACTATTGCCCGAAGCTAACGAAGGAGAGATCGACGAGTGTCATATATATTGACAGTTATAAGTATAAAGCATGAGATGGATCGGCAAGTGAAGTTATGTGTATCAGATTGATAAGCTTCAGATGAAAACTGGTGATACAAACTCAAGCAACGGATAAGAACGAGGTTCACAGTCTCACCCTACAGAACCTATGGGACTCAATATTGCATTTGCAAATGTAAATTATGAACCTATAGGTTATGATAGAATGGCAGAATATTGGATTGTATGACATGATCACAACTTGACTGGGATCTAGGAATAGCCTCACTGCCGTACACCAGATCCATGGGTCCGATCTCCTGCAAGTCATAACGCATCTGCAGTACCAAGACCGCTTTCCCAAGCTGTCATCGGTTCTCTAGGTTACATAGCTCAAACAGCTAAATAAGCTTGTCGCATGCCTCAAGCCACTCAGGAGCCGTATCGCCCCATGTTGGTATCTCGTGGGCATCCTTTCTCACGGCGCGGCGGTCCAATAACAGGGCTCAATTGGAGCATGCCCCTTCCAGAAGTCGTTGTGATTGCCGAGTTCCTGGGACGATGACGGCGGAACATGTCTCACTAAGCGTGGGCGTGGAGCCTTTCTTGCAGATATCATGTGCATGAACGCAGTCGCTTTGACGTGTTCGCTTGTGTATCTTGATGCTGGAAATATGCTTCTGGACGTTGAGGACAACGGCTGCCCTGCTGTTGATGGATGGATCTCCACTATCGCACTCCCCAGATGACCCATTGCTAGGTACAGTAGCCCCGCCATCAGAACCATCCAGACTGAAGCAAACCTGGTGACTGAAAGCACTTATGATTCAGTGAAAGGACGATAAAACAAGTATCTGAGATATCTCCATGTATTTCTGAGCAGGAATATCCATATGAGGAGTCACTTACAAGCAAGAAAAGCACCTGCCCGCACCTCTCATCCTCCAGTCTCTTATACAGGCCCTTGTGTTCCATTCGCCCAGCAGCAACCGAAATACTGCATCCGTCTCATGAAGATCTTTGCCCTGCACCTTTTTCTTAAGAAAGGAATAAAAAGGAAACAATCGTGGGCTAGCGACTTTCAGCAGCGTGAAGATCCCAACGTTGCTTGTATTTATTGATACCTGACGGGATCACGGCACAGCAATCACATTGTCGCCTTAGCACCAAACGAGGTAAAGGCCCAACTCATTTCTAGACCAGAATAAGAACCATCAACTTCTCGCATCGACATTCTTTCTTTCTCTTTTTTTGCCTAGAACCTATTGTTCCCTTCATTTCGATATCGGTTGCAGATAAATCCTTCATCTTATTCAAAAGCAGTAGCCAAACGAGACGAGACACTTATCAAGACATCGCAAAAGCGTCTGTCTTGTTCTGTTCGCTCTAACCTAACTTTAGGCTCGGTACGGAGTAGTCTAGACCTATACCAGACCCTGCTAATAAACGGGCCCTTTTCATCGACGTCAGACCTTTCTGACACCTGATTGCGAGCTCTTGGAATTTGGTATTATTGGATTTCAGAAGATAACAGCACGAATCAATTGACACCTTTCAATTGGTGTACTCGGTTATAATCTCTCACACAAGACATTTGGGTGTGTACAAGAACGGGCAACACACACAAAGATACTTGACGTTACCGTACTGTATCATAACTTACCTTACCTTACCCTTCTATACGATACGACCTTGGTTCACTCTATCTATATCCCGTCCGTGGAGATAGCGGACCGTTAATACTGGGCACTATGAACAGGAATAACCCACTGGACCCGGATTTGAATGCTGCTAGCCTGGCCGATACCGATGACAGCCCAGCCAAACAACAAGCACAAGAACCAGAACCAGAGCCATCGGTTAGCTCCTCCGTCTCCGCCTCCGGTGAACCTTCCGCTGCCGACTTTTCTTCCTCGCCTCGCCGCTTTCATCCACACTCTCATCCACCCTCTTCGTCACTCACTTTTGGTTACGTTTCTGTTGAACAGCATAATATCCAGCCCAATCCCCCTCGTCAATCCCGTGCATTCTCTTCAACATCGGCCTCGCTACTCGCCAACTCCTCTGCTGCCGCTATCACAAGGAAGAGTCGCGGCGCCGAGCCCGTCACTCGAGACGCATACGCTACCGCACGCCGGGCCAGTTTCACGGCAGCTCCAAGCTCGACAACCGTCGTCTCGTCCTTGCCAATCAGGAACCCCCGACCTCTGGCACGTACTCGCCGCGAGTCCATGACCTCAGATACCGCTTCTGAAGAACAGACGTTGGCCGATTCGCAACTTTCAGGCCCGGGAGAAGAACCCCACCAACTGCGAACTCGCTTACCGTCCGCCAACGAGAATTCCCACACCGTATCGTCAGAAGCTTCCAACGCCGCGAACCACCGTTTGTCTTCTTCCTCGGACTACCAGTCTAGGAGACTCTCTGGTACTTCCATCTACTCTCTCGCATCTGCCCGTGGTGTCCTCAGCGGTTCATCATCAGCTCATGGTTCAGAGCTAGGCACCCCACCAAGATCTGTACCTGGATTGCTTTCAACAGGCAAGAGCACAGCAACTAGCCAGTCTGAAGCAGAAGTCTCCAACGTCACTGTCACTACTTCTAGCAACCAACCGGGTCAATCAGTCGTGGGACATCCTAATCAGCATCACCTGACGCCTCGCGATCTTCACTCGCAGCCACTTGACTTTACAAAACGAGCTATCCGACACGACAACATGCAGAGCAGTACGTCTGGCCTACGGCAAGGGCCCGATAGGTCTCGTAGCCGAGCCAAGAGACGCTTTAGCGGAAGCACAGCAACCAGCAGTCACAGCCCGAGTAGCGATCGGGGTCCCCACCATCGAGAGAGAGAAGAGGGTATGTTTGATTTACCTTGCCTGTGGAAATCCAGGGTCTAACTTGCTGCAGTGAAACCGTCACGATTTGGTGTCATTGGTGTGTGCGCTCTAGATGTCAAGGCTCGAAGCAAGCCCAGCAGGAACATTCTGAACCGACTCATCGCCAATCGTGAATTCGATGTGGTGGTCTTTGGTGATAAGGTTATCCTCGATGAAGGTGAGTTTACAGATGCAAGAGTTATATATTTCAGAACTAAACTAATCCATCTTGTGTGCAGAGGTTGAGAATTGGCCTATTTGGTGAGTAGATCTTCTCGGTGAGCTGAAGTAGCATAGTGGGGTGCATCTGTAGTGCTGCAAGGGGCACGTGCCGAATTACCCAAAGTGATAGCTAACACCAGTCAGTGATTACCTTATTTCCTTCTATTCCGACGGTTTTCCACTCGAAAAGGCCATTGCCTATGTCAAGGCACGGAAGCCCTTCTGTGTGAACGATGTTCCTATGCAGCAGATTCTATGGGACCGACGCCTGTGCCTCCACTTACTCGACAAGATCGAGGTCAGGACGCCGAAGCGTGTCGAGGTCACTCGTGATGGTGGCCCTCAATATCTTACGCCAGAGATGGTGAAGCATATCAAGGACGTCTCTGGAGTTTCTCTGGATCCTATTGACCCTTCGCAGACACCGCCTCCCCAAAAAGTAGAGCTTATCGAGGACGGCAATACTATCAGTGTAGATGGTCAAACACTCCGAAAGCCCTTTGTTGAGAAACCAACGAGTGGCGAAGATCACAACATCATCATATATTTCCCCACGGAAGAAGGCGGCGGTGCTCGAAAGCTCTTCCGAAAGATCGGAAACAAGAGTTCTGACTACATCAAAGATCTCAATGTCCCCAGAGCCATCACAGAACCCGGAAGCAGTTATATCTATGAAAGCTTCATGCAAGTCGATAACGCCGAAGATGTCAAAGCCTACACTGTTGGTCCAAATTATTGCCACGCAGAGACCCGAAAGAGTCCCGTAGTGGATGGTGTGGTGCGAAGAAACACCCATGGCAAAGAGTTGCGTTATGTCACAGCCCTTGGTGCCGAAGAGAAAGAGATGGCTAGCAGGATATCTACAGCTTTCGGCCAAAGAGTCTGTGGGTTTGATATGCTGCGAGCATCAGGCAAGAGCTATGTCATTGATGTCAATGGCTGGAGCTTTGTCAAGGATAACGACGATTACTACGATCACTGTTCCAACATCCTGAAGGACCTTTTTATCAAGGAGAAAATGAGAAAGGGTGGCGTCACTCCCCCTATGCCTTCGCCTGCGCCATCAGATACAGACCCCTTCACACGAGCATCTAACGCGTTCAAGGATCGTGAACAAACCCAGTCTAGCACTAATGGAGTCAGGACGAGCATCAATTCTATTGCAGGCACTACCGACTCGCAGCCGGACGACTCTTCCCGTCGTGTGCCCAGCGGCACAGTTACTCCTCTTCTACCCCCAGACAGCGGACTGCCTTCGAAGACGCACAGCACGTTGGCGACTCCAGCAATCCCACCCACTCCTGTCGATGTGACCCTGCCGGGGATTTCATCCGCCCCTCCAACCCAGCAGAGTGCTATTGCGGAACCTCCATCAGAACAAGCATCCATTGTCCCTGAGCCTCCCCTGCCAACTCACTCCTGGAAGCTGAAGGGCAT